TCTCTCTCTCCTCTCTGTTTGTCTCTCTCTCTGCCTCCTCCATCCCGGTCTAATTCGAAGCTCGTCGTTGTCATAATTAGGCAGGCTCAGGACCGAACTGGCAATCGATGACAGCAGCTTGGCAGGGAACGACGGAACACCTATATTATACCTGCTAAGTATAAGCAAATCACGTGAGGTTTACTTGCACGGATAGATCAAACGTTATAATTATACGAGAGCAGGCCCACAAAGAAACAACTGCATATTGGTATATGAAGTGAATAAATCACCAACCCAAAGACTTGGCCTTTACGCCAGGGCTTAACAAAATGTGAATGAATTATTTTTAATAAGTTAAGGCTGGAAATCATAGGGCCAAGGGGAGACACGCCTTACTATGATATTGGGCTACATTAAATTAACTTCAGACTTCTCTTTCGATGCCTGAACTTTAATGTAGGCCTATAGTCTACTTTTTTGTGCAGGGTTGTGTAATTATTAATTTAGCCGAGAGCATAACCTTTCGATCAGAATCAGGGCGTTGCATACATGTACACTACATACATACACATGTTTAATCGTCTTATGATGTTTTTCCGACAATGCCTTCCCGGCATTCATATAACCTAGTTGAGGGAAGTAAGCTTCTGTAATTAATTTCATTTTTCCTTTTAAAGGTAAATAATACTCTCCAAAAGCAGGTAGTCTAATTGTTGCTCAATAATAGCTCTAGCCCTGGCTAATATTATTGTCTCGCGAGGAGGGGTTCTGAACAGGTGGGCGTTCCCTTTGGAGGTTTAAACCTATTAATAGAAACAGGAACTCCTCCTGACTCATTGGCCACTGCGCAAGTCAGAAACAATCAAAATGGCGATCATCTGCTAAGTGAGGAGTAAAGAATATCAACATTTTCCAGGATGGAAATCTATCAGTTTTCGCGTTGTTGGCCTACTTGCACTTAATTTGAAAGCTTTAAAAAACAATCTGTTCATGTAGTGTTTAATTAGTCTTTACTCTATGGTTTTAACCTTTCGTACTTACTTACAAGCTCTATAAACAGTGAACCTAGAGTGACAATTTTGAGGTCATGCTTGAGTTCAGAGAGTATTGAGGAAGTTGTGATTATCAAGCAGTGCTCTGTGTGAAAGTTTTCTGGTGTGTTCGTGTTCGTATTGTCTTACCGTTGGATTTCTCTTTTATAAGATCGTTACCAGTTACACGGTTGCACAAACTGGCATTCTTTTTTCTTGATGCATGTGATTACCGTTACCAATGGACGAAATCTAGCATACTGACACTGTCAAGAACTTGTTTATCATCCGTGACATCAGTATCAGTGTCCGTGTCACCCATGAGTCTTGTTGGTCCGGGTCTAGTCTTGTAGACTGTAAATCTAGACGTAGACCTGCACCAGTTGCAGATCTAACTCTTGGGTCTGGGCGACCGGTGTGGAGGGTCTGGCCTCAAATTAGCTAGCAACAGGCAGACAGCAGAAAATTCAAGATGTCCTTCCTCAGCAGCTTCAAGAAACTGTTCAAATTTGGCTCTGACAGTGATCAGATGAAGAAGGGCCTGTGGAATGTGAACATTAGAAAAGACCAAGATCCTGAGCAGTTCTGGGATATCATTGGAGAGATTGGAGAGGGAGCATTTGGTGCAGTATACAAGGTAGGCCTAATGTTTGTTATAATATGACATTTGCAAATCTTATCTTATCTCTTCTCTAAACTCTAAGTCTAAGATTCAAATATGTAAAATTTAGGCCCTATCTTCTACCTTCACTCTCCTCCTGCACACGTCTTGTCTTAGATGCACTGCTTTTGGATAGTCAAACAACAGTATTTTTGCTGCAGATCACTCATATATTTATGGCCTCTAAAACTGTCACAGATCAATTATTTTCAAGAAAATTTCAAACCTTATTCAACTGCAAAACATCAAATGGGGGAAAACAGGTGGGCATCCGCCCCCCCCATAACCCCGTAGATCCGTAGATTTGTTTTGGTGGTGTATTATCTTTCTTTCACTACTGTCTCATGCTCAGGCTCAGGTAGGCCCCTATTGTATTACTGCAGCAGGTCTAGCCGATTTTTTTTTCTCATTTGAATCACGAATCTGTTTTACACGGATTTGGAATTTGACATTCGCAGCAGATATTAATAGTTTAAAAAAATATTTGATTCATTTCTATTTGAACTATAGCTATATTAACACATTATCTAATAGTAAATTTCCCATTTTTGTGCTTCTGAACGTTCGGGGGGATTTAGTACAAGACTTATAAATATTTTTTTGGCCGGCTCTATTTCTCCAAACGTTCGGGAAAATAAACTTGAACTCTATTCCTCAGAGCGGTTTCCGTTCTCGAAATTTGTTGATAATAAGCGAATGGAGTGGCCCATGTGTGTGTGTGTTTGTGTGTGTAAAGTGTGAGGGGGGGGGGGCGTGGAGTGATTTTTTTTTCCACGAAGGATTATATAGTTATTTGCTGGATGAGTAGATTTAAATGCAAAATAAGTACTGCCAAGGTGGAGCAGTCTTGTTTTATCGCTGTACTTTTTGAAGGTATTTTCAAATAAAGTATAGTCCGGGAACGTTACCCCAACCACAACTGAAGTGTATCTGAATATTCAGACATTGAAAAATCTCTAGATCTACCTCTAGTATAATTGAATTTGATGCAAAAAATGCTTCTTCCCAGTCCTCGCAGAATGGCAGAATGAAAGGCTGACGCCAAAATCTCGCAAATAACCCAAAAATCTCGAGATCGGAAACCGTTAGGAGAAATAGAGTTCAATTTTATTTTCCCGAATGTTCGGAGAAATAGGCACTTCGTTTTTTATTTTTTAAAGGGGGGTTTGAGGGGGGGGGGGGTGTATAGGGGAGGGCATACACACTCCCTGTTGTTAATATTTTGAGGTTTGAAATTTTTGTAACTAGAACTTGTGTAAAATTGAATTGAGACAGTTTTAGTATATAATATGATCTGCAGCAAAAAATACAGCAGTTTGGCCTGGCCCCCCCCACGGCGTTGCATATCTGGAATGAAAGTACAAATGCACACCATTACTTTTTATTCAAACCTCCTGGATTGGTCCTCAGTGTGGAATCACTGTGGGCGCAAGTTGGCCTAGTATTTTATAGTTTGAATAGAATCCAATATATTAAAAAACCAATAACTTGCCAGCCATGCAGTCCCGACATTGAAAAGAATAGGACTGAGGTGGTGCTAGCGTGTCATAGGAGGCGACTTAATAGCGAAACCAGGTAGTGACTCCCGAAACAAAGTCATCCTCCCTCCACGTCGGGGGTTGCGTCTCGAGGCGAACATCCTCTCTAGTAAAAAGAACTTGTTAAAGAAACACATACACAAGCAAAAGCCATTATTTTTCCTTGGCTGGTCATGGATTTTCTCCGAATGGAGAGTTTATGATGCGAAGCAGTGAAAGCCGAAAGGAAGCTGCTGGGCAGAAGCCTCCACCATCATCCAAGTCGAGGTCTCTCCGGATTGGATTATGGAACATTAGGACCCTTTATGAGGCTGGAAAAACTGCACAGGTCCTCCAAGAAATGCACCGATACCACCTACACACAAACTGGGAATCAGGGAGACCGACTTGAACCAGTCTGGACAGAAGCGAATGAAAGGGGGAGCTTTTCATTTATTCAGGAAATGACTGTGATGGGCCTCACAGGGTAGGAGTAGGGATTGTCATAGCCAAAACAGCTCAATTTAAGACTTTTAGGGGCTGGGAAGCGCACGGTCCAAGAATCATCATGGCCTCATTTGGAACTAAAAAAGAACTCAAGGAAAGAGATGGTAGGAAGAAGGTCATAAACTTGAACATCATACAAGTGTATGCCCCAACCAATGATGCAGAAGTGGAGAATAAAGATGACTTCTACAACCGCCTGCAGAGTGCGATCGACAAACTTCCAGGTAAGGACAACAACATTGTCATTGGAGACCTAAATGCAACTTAAAGAGAGGTAGGTTCGGACAATCATCAGCATGAGGAAATCATGGGCAGACATGGATTAGGAGAGGCAAATGACAACGGAGAAAGATTCCAACACTTCTGTGCATTCAACAACTTGGTTATTGGAGGAACAATGTTCCCACGCTAATCAAGCTGCCAAAGAAAGGAGACCTCAGCAATTGTAACAATTACAGAGGCAAAACACTCCTGTCCATACCTAGGAAAGTCTTTAACTGGATAGTCCTGGAGAGAATCAAGCTGGCAACAGATGAGAAGCTCAGTGGAAACCAGGCAGGATTCCTCAAGAACCGATCATGTGTGGACCAGATGGCTACTCTGCGCATCATTTTTGAGCAATCGCTTGAATGGAATTCACCACTAGTTGTCAACTTCATTGATTATGAAAAGGCTTTTGACATCGTGACAGGGAAACTCTGTGGAAACTCAGGCATTATGGAATACCTGACAAAATTGTCAAGCTTGTGAAGACCACCTATGATGGAACAAACTGCCAAGTCTTCCTCGAAGGACAACTCTCAGAACCATTCCAGGTACAGACAGGAGTGCGAAAAGGATGCCTGCTTTCAACTTTTCTCTTCATATTTGCAATTGACTGGATCATGAAGGAAGCCACCAGAGGCAAGCGCAATGGAATACTGTGGATCCCTTGGCAGCAGCTGGACGACTTGGACTTCGCTGATGACCTTGCACTGCTCTCTCACACACATCTTCAGATGCAAGAAAAAACCAAGGAACTCAACAGTGCCTACGTATACACACGGGCAAGTCGAAAGTAGTGAAGCTAGAAAGAAGTGTCAAACCCTGCTGTGACAGTGGAAGACAATCCCCTAGAAGAAGTGGACTCCTTTACCTTCCTTGGAAGTGTCATCGATGGTAAGGGTGGGACTGAGGCAGATGTAAAAGCAAGAACCGCCAAGGCAAGGTCAGCTTTCAAGCAATTATCAAAAGTCTGGAAAGCAAGCAACATCTCACTGCACACCAAGATTCGACTCTTTAATTCCTATGTCAAGTCTGTGCTCCTCTACGGCTGCGAAACTTGGAAGACAACAAAGACAGTGCTGAATAAAGTCCAGACTTTCATCAACAGATGTATGAGGAGTATCCTAAGAAATAAGTGGCAGGATAAAATAAGAAATGAAGAGCTATGGGAAAGGACAGGACAAAAGCATATAAGTAGAAATAGGACTAAAAAAGTGGCGTTGGATGGGACGCACCTTCAGAAAGCCCAGCGGAAACGTCACTGCAATGGAACCCACAGGGAGCACGAGGCAGGGGTAGGCCACGAGAGACATGGAGGAAATGTGTGGAAAGGACATGAGAGGGATGAAGCTCACTTGGAATGATCTAGGAAGGATGGCCCAGGATAGAGATCAATTTGGAAGGAGCTTGTATGTGGCCTATACCCTGCCAGGGGTGAAAGGCATTGATGATGATGATATTAACTTGTGACAGATTAGTCAGTATTTGTGTGTAAGAGGGATAAAAATGAACAGGAAAAAGGCTCTGGGACAGAAAAGTGAAAGTAAAATAGTACCTGATTTGGTTTCAGGGCCAATATGATTTAAGTTACTGCCATTACTATGACCAAGTAGTTAGTAAGTAAGTCTGGCATTTTAAACAGAGTTGTGTCTTTGGTTTTAAGAAGAACACAATGTTTTAAAGTCTTGTCACTTTATGTGAGGCATTGTGGTGAAATCTTTTTTTCACTAGTCTAGCAATTTTTATCGGATCTTTGTTTTTTGGCTCCACACCTTTTATAATGTCAATATAAAAACCCAATTCCAGGGGAATTTCACTGGAAAACGTTGATTAAAGGCAAGAAATGTATTAAATTTATATTTAGTTTTTAGTTTGTAAGGACTCTCACTACGTAAAAGTTATCAGCCTTTGGCGGCCATTTTCTGTATAAAATTTTACCTCTAAAACTAGACTGCCCCCACCTCCTTAAATAGCAAATACTTCGACTTCCATCAAGACAGACTTGATGGGTATTTTTGTATTTTTTTCATTGAAAGAAAGGCAAATGAATTTAGCTTTTAGATTTTACCGGTAACTCCGCATGCTCCAAAATTGATGAACGCCTAATTCCACAGCGTCGTGACACGTATTCATTTTTATATGAATGAACTGACCCCTCAATACTTTAAAACCCTTCCAGCCCCGAGCGTGTGTATTTTCAGCAGTGCCTGTACCTCCCACCGTCCCAAGAGCGTATATTCTCTGTTTCAGGGGGTCCCGAATTTGAGCATTTTTCGAAATTAGCGAACCCAATTTAACTTAGATTTTCATAATATTTGTTCATTTGCCTTTAAAAATTGTTACATGTTATTATCTAAACCTCATTACATAGATACTACATCACGTTTTTAAATGCACGCCTCTTTTTCTGAAATACTGCTGTATTGGCTGGGACTGGGGTTAGGGAGTGCACAAAACTGGCTGGGGCTGGAAGGGTTAATATGTTGGGTAGCAACACACCCACCATACTTGTGTTTTTCAAATTATACAGGAGGAGCAAAACTCTGATTTATCTTTTTGATACACTCGTGTATTTTCACAAAATAATTGCATGACTCCTTAGTCTGAAATTTTTATTGGGCAGGTACTCCTTTCTGGTGCCTTGGAAATATGTGATTTGCGCCAAAACAATGAGTTACGATACTTCAGCTGCTACATTGCGAATTACCTTTTATTTTCTGAAAGAAATTTAATTAATGATTCTAATTCTTCTGGGCCTTTTGAAAGCAGCACAGGCTCTGGTGTAGAAGTGAAGAGCGGGTAGTTACCTAATTGTTGCTCTCTGTGGTTTTGGATCACCCTTTTAGGCGTATTGCTTCTGATTTTGAACAGTATCAATGTGATCCCATGTTCGGGCAACTAATTGTGGCTGTAAAATGCGAAAATATCGATGTGTCATCTTTTAAATTTTTTTGGGAGTAAGTGTTCTGTGGTGCTCGGAACTGCGTAAGGTCATATATGAGCGCACAGGACACTTTAACCGTTTTCAATTTGGTTGGAAATTTTGAATTTTGCCAGGGTGGTTGCTGAAGTCTATTTTTATCAAAATTGGACCATCAGGGATCTTTAACGTACAACTTTCACTCGGGACCTCCGAGATTTTTTGCCCTTATCCAAGAAGGCTAGGTGTTAGATCTTACCTACCGTAAGAAGGAGCCAAAGAGTAGCAGTAGAAAGGCTGCAGAAAGAGTCAGGAGTCCTGAGGAGGGGGGCAATGGAGGTGAGGTGGTAGGGGCAGAAAGTGGAGATGAAAGCAGATGACAGAACATTTATAGAGAGTAGGAAAGGATGTGAAAGGAGAACATTTTCGAGAAGTTAATTTTCCCTGGCTATCCGGATTCGAACCCTCGACTGATTGAATGAGAGGCGAACACCTGAAACTTAGCTTCTGGACCACGAGAGTCCCCCTGTGTCATGTCTGTAAACAAAGGCATTTCTGGAAAAGGACATTTTATGTGTATACTGTATACGCTATTCTATTTTTTAAAAAACATTTTCCGGCTAGAAATAACTTTAAATCTGTAGAACTAATGTTTTCCTTTTGTTGCTATAAATAGTCTGAATCATTTTGATGTGTAAAATATTTTTGCTTTTCAGGCAAGAAATAAGGAAACCAATGTGTTTGCTGCCCTGAAACAAGTGGAGATTAAGAATGAGGAAGACCTTGAAGACTTTTCTGTGGAAATCAACATCTTGGCTGAATGTCCACACCCGAACATAGTTGGACTCCATGAAGCTTTTTTCTTCAATGACAAGCTATGGGTAGGTTTCCTTTCATCCTAGTTTTGTAAGAGTAGACACGTAAGTCTCGTCAAGAATTTGGGTTTATATGTCATCATGTATCGTTATAATTTTTGAGTCTTCTGTGTTCCTTCTTTTTACATTTAAATACACTTTGTTTACCCGCTGTCCTCCTGATCATACTAATGGTGCCATGTGCATTAATTCTCTTTAAGTGACCTTGCTCCGAAGTTTTAAGGATTTGCCCCCTTTGAAAATTTTGCCTGCCCCTATAATTTATCTGACTGTTTCTTCTAGATGTCTCTTTCTGATCTGATTCTAGGGGTAGGGTCTTGTTCTTCTTACTGTTCATCTCTAAATGGACACTAGTGCGAAGGCTTCTTTTCGTTGCTGGTTCTCCAGGCCTCCATAAAGTTTTGGGTGTCTCTTCTGCTTAGGGTTGGGCCAATAAATATGCAGGGTTAATCTCATGATTTGAAAAATCACATGTGCTAACAACTGTGGTTCCTTAAAAAAATACAGGATATTTTCATTATACTTACATTGAGTGAGCATGAATCCACAGGGAATTCAAAAGAGAATGTTGAGTCTGCCCCGAAATCATAATAATGGCAGAAGGCTAATGTTAAGAATTGTGGATTGCTGGATCGATAACAGCAACAAGAATTGTGGATTGTATTGTATACTGTCAGAAGACAAAAAGAACAGAAACATAATGGTAGATAGTCAGTCAAGTGGACTGACACTGCAAAGACTTTGATTTTGATTTGTTTTCTTTTGAAGTGTGGTTATGGAAAAATCCACCAGCAAAGCTGATTGTCTTTGCCATGAAAAAGTTGGTGTGTCTTATCCAATGAATGTAAATGAGTTTTGGCTTTTAAGTATCTCTGCATCTTATCCGCGTATAATGCATCCTATGCTTATATACATTGATAGTTGGATTTTGGAAACCAACCAATGTAGAATTGGGTATGTGTAGTGTTGTAAGTGTAAAGGGAAAGAAATATAGGAAGAGAGATAAAGTTTTGTGATTTTGAGTGTATAGCCAGAGCTCATTTGTGTGGCATCATCATGAAATCAGGCACTCATCAAAATAGTGAAATCAAAGAAACCAACATTTGTCCATCCGCAGGGCAATAGTTACTGAAATTTCTGTTAAAGCTCTACACCTTTTTTGAAATTTAAAAACACATTCCTGCACACGTTTTACTGAAAAAGGTTGATGATCAAAGGCCAATAAGTGTAAATTTGTTGTTTCTAAGGACATCACAGCCTTGGAAGTCGCCAAACTTTGGCGACCGTTTTCTTTAATTTGATCTCTAATACCAAGTGGCCCCACCTCCTTCAACCGCAAATGTCTTAACTTTTATTTTCATCAAAAGCAAGGCAAATGTACCAATAACTCTTTGTCCAAAAATTGATGGCGCCTAATTCCACCGCGTCGTGTTGCATTTCTCTATGAGATGAGTTATGTGTAGCATCATTTTCCTTTAAGTTTGCTCTTTATTATCATCTTGACATTAGGATGTGCACACTTGTTAAACATTTTGTATGTGCTTCTTGGGTTTTGGTTTGAGAAGTTGGATCAATGACCACAAAGTAGCTACTAAGATCTAAATTCATCTTTTATACAGCCTTCCTTTTTGCATAAAATTAGACTTTGTACAACAGTGGTTAGTTCTGTGTGTGGCTTGTTATAATATGCAAATAGCTGTGTGATAATTTTACTCAGGTAAACTTTATTTGTAAAATATAGATGTTTCTTGTGTAATTATAATTCACATAAAGCGTTTATGAATTATTAAGAAGTGTGCTGATTTGTTTTCTTTCTCATCCTCCACAGATGTTCATTGAGTACTGTGGAGGTGGTGCTCTTGATTCTATCATGGTGGACCTGGAAAAGCCTATGTCAGAACCTCAGATTCGTTATGTTGCCCATGAGATGTGTGTTGCCTTGGCTTATCTCCACCAACAAAAGGTCATTCATCGTGACATCAAAGCTGGCAATGTTCTACTGACAATGGAGGGAGATGTAAAATTAGGTAGGTCCCATCATGTTTCTTATCAGGACTTGGTTCTTCAAGGAAGATACATTTTTCTCTTTTTCCCTATAGTCGTTTGATAAGATTTTAAACTCAAGCCAAGAGTCTCATTTGTTTAAGTTCTTTCATTTAAACTACTAAGTTATTTGAAAATGAATTGAAGTAGGCATGATTTCTTTATTTTTCTTTTATGTATCAAGACTACTGTCATGTTGAGTTTTGGTTACAATAAAAGCAAAAAATGTGTTCAAGTCGTTTAAAGAGTTAAAAAAAAAAAAGAAATGAGTCCTTTGTTAACTTTATGTCTCTAGATCCACTGTGGATTTGCAAAGTTTCAATAGTTAAAAGGCAGCAGCTGTGAATTTTGACGTAAGCTTAATCTGTGACTTTTTTGTTCTGAATTGTTCTCAAATAGCTGATAGCCCGTTTCAAACTGACAGTTTCATGACTGTCTTTTATTGATTCATAATGTGCTTGCTTTCAACAGCTGACTTTGGAGTATCAGCAAAGAACACAAAGACCACTCAAAGGAGGGACACATTTATTGGTACTCCTTATTGGTAAGCCATTCTAAGTCTAATTTATTGCTATAATGTGCTTTTTATTGCGGTCAATGACTTTTTTCTTTACATTTGGGGTTTGCCTAATCATATGAATATTGAATTCTTTTAGCTGTTGTGTTTTTATTAGTGGAGAACTGACAGTCTTTTGATTGGAGCTGTTAAAATTCTCTTCACCTCTCAAAAATAGTCAATTTGAGGCTGTGTGTATTTAATTAGACCACCTTAATTTTTCAATTGAAAAAGCATGTTTTGATTTAGCTTCTTTTACCCACAGACCCTGCCTCAACTTTTAAAAGTGTGATCTGTTTATGAGTTCATGACAAAAGGTGGTGCATAATAAGGGGGGCCAGTAGTTTTGACTGATTTTTTCCTTTATGTAGTGTATAGTAGTCTCTGACAGGTTTCCTCCCATTCTGTCTTTCCTTTCAAACATCTATCATCTTACTTATTCTATCTTTCCTCCTTTATTGTATGTTACTTTCTGGTGTTGCGTCTAATCTCTTGCGTGGGTGGTTGGCGGGTGCTCTGGTGTGGTTTGCTCCTTCTTTCCTTTCAAACATCTGTCGTCCTTATCTTCCCTCCTTCTTTTTTTGTGTATTACTCTCTTGTAACACATAATCTATTCTTCGGCACTTATATGACCTTATGGTATTGCAAGTGCTGTAAACTCTTACTAAAACTAAACTAATCTTTTGCTTTTACACGATCTACTTGTTTTGCAAGTTCCATAAAACTTATACTGAAACTAGAACTAAAAGATTCCTACTGTTTTACAATTTTTATAAGTTACTATGGTGGGTGACAAGATCCTTTGATTTCTGCTCCGTCTAAAGTTTCTGCTTTTTTATTTGATGACACCCTGGGTATTTCTCCCATGTATTTGGACACTTGATCAATCCTCAGTGGGGGTAGAAAATTCAGTTTATGTTTATTCTGAACATAAGTTTCATTTAGCTCATTATCTTTGATTGTGATGTAAATCAACATAGGAGATGTGATAATCCTTTACCTTTTTGAGAAATGCAAAGGCCCTTCATCTTTGTAGGTCTTGTACCGTCAATGACTAATTTTCTGAGAAGGTATCAGTTGAAAATCTGTTACCTAGCCCAGTATGGATATGATGGGGGTTCTCATGTAGTGTTACAATGATCCATTTTCCATTCATTCCTGAGAAACAGAGACCTAGATCTTTTATGGGGGAGAGCATGGGAGCTCAAAAATAAAAACAGCTGAATAAACTGAAATAAAGCAGTTTAAATCTTACTTGTGTAAGGCTGTATTCTTTCTATTGTGTTATGAATTAAATGCGGTGTGTTTGTTTTTATAAACTTGACATAGATTGAACAAATGTGCTCTCTGAGACCACTTTTGATCAAGCCTTTGTTGTGGAATGCTGTCCGTATAAAACTGATTTTTGAAGTTCAGTCAACTTTGTTTTGGCACTGATGATATTGGTTTAATCTTAAATCAATAATTGTAAAGTGTTTACCACAGGAAGTCATTCATCGAACTAGACGAGAATGGTATAAAAAGCATGATTTTGCTCATAATCACAAAGTGTTAGTATTAATTGGTCGCTATTTAAGGACAAGTGGGCTATCCCGAAAAATGCTGTTATAAAAAAAAATCGAAGGTAAAGTTTTTGCCCCTTGTTCAGTTTTATTAACAAACAAGGAGAGTTTTCTCTATAACCAAACAAATATAAACACCAATGAAACCAAACTTCTCTTATAGGTAGGGCAATGCCCTTTTTTGGTGTAGGTCAAGATTTCTGGAAACCCCCGAAATCTGGGTTAGCCTGCTTGTCCTTAAAAGCGACCAATTATAATGAAAATTACTTTTTTAGTGTGTTTAAATTTAAATATATATGCCTATTTAATAATGCAGTGTTATATCTATTTTCACCAAAAGTCATTTGCTTTTTTTCATAGGATGGCTCCCGAGGTGATCATGTGTGAGACATTAAAGGATGAACCTTACGACTACAAGGCTGATATTTGGTCACTTGGTAAGCAAAAAGTCTTTAATATTCTTCTATAATTTTGTGTATATTGGACATACTTGCTTTGCAGAAATTGTATGCTCTGTTGCTTTTGCTCTGTTTCAAGAGTTGAAATTAGGAAGATAAGAAGGTATTTAATTTATACACATTTTACACAGAAGAGATTTCAGTGAAACAGTGGGAATTATAAAGATCTCAGTAACATAAAAAAAAAAGAGTTTTGTCAAGGTAAAAGTTTCCATATTGAAATAGTATAGTACATGTATCATTTTGGGGAGGGTTATGGCGTGTAGATTTTTTTCAAAGCTTGAATGATATTTTAATCAGAATTAAAATTAAATTTATCTTCAATTTCATGAAGGTTGCACCTCTGCATATGGGTAAATATATTGATTTCCTTGGATGAAGATTTTTATTCAATAGCAGGCAGTGAGTTTTTAACAAGGCGATTACTCTTTGGTTCCAGTACTGTGGGAGGTTGATGATATGCAGTGCTACTTTTTGAGAGAGAATTTGAATAAATTGTAACTGCGACAGACTTTTTACTTTATATTTTGTATATAATCATCTACAAACCTACTTTTACTGAGAAATAACTTTAACTTAATGCTTCCTACACTTTGAGAAAACCAGACATATCTAAATAACCCAATGACGCTCTCGTGGTCTAGAGGTTAAAGTGTTTGCCTCTCGTTCAATAGGTCCTGGGTTCGAGATCAGGCAAATTCAAAATTAATTCCTGCCAAACTGAAAATGTTTATGTCCCGTGCGTTCATATGACCTTATGCGGTTGTGAGGGCCGTAAAACACTTACCCCCCAAAAAATAGATAGCCCAGTTGACTCCTTGTAATTTACAAAAACAATAAAAGTGGTATGTAACATCTCTTAAGAAAACTGCCATTTTCTAAGTTTATAAGTCTGCCCCAGAATTTAATGACACGATGCATTTAATCAGAGTATAATGAGTTTTCCTCACCTCTCGGAATTAAACATGGTTTGGGTGTAGATTGTAGTTTTCCCGAGTACCAGAAAGGCTTTCCAGAATTTTAGCTGTACATTGTTAATTACATCCCAAGTTGAAATTAAGCTTAATATGCGCCCCCCCCCCCCCCCCCCCCCCCCGAAAAAACTTGTTTTTGTAGGCCTATGGAGTCCAAAATATTATTAAATGAACAAACGAACCCCAGAAGGATTAATTTTATACTTTTTGTAGCTGCAACTAGTGGGTTAAGGAAGCTTTGAATAGGTGAACACAATGAAATTTCAATCAAAGAGTCTGTGATTAAGATGACATTGATGTGGGTGTGATAGGTATTTTAAAGCTGCAAGCAGTGATGAAGACATACAGTTGTAGCTGTACTTAAAGTTTCTCTCTGGGAATGTGTTCAATTTGTCCCAGGTATCACACTGATTGAGTTTGCCCAGATTGAGCCTCCCAACAAGGAAATGCATCCCATGCGTGTTTTGATCAAGATTCAAAAGGCTGATCCGCCAGGATTTGACAAACCCTCCAAATGGTGAGTTGCTTCTCTTGATTTTAGATTCTCCTAGCATTTAGTGTAAGTGACTATAGACTTGAAAACTAAATAAGGTGAGGCAAATATGGGTTCCAGATTGATGTATTGGTTTTGGTAGAGAATGATTCCGTTATTTTAAATCCTTTAAAAAAAATGCTCGATCTTTTTTTGTTGAACTCATGAAGAGCTTTTTTGAAGATTCATTTTTGTGAAACTATTTCTTTTGCCAAGTTTGAGAAACAATAGCACTACCCATTCCACCTGACCACCTTTATATTTCTAAGCCCCTATTTTGAACGTGAGATGACTTGGCTTATAGTCTAACATTTTCAATTCCTTGAAATATGTTCTTTTGTTTGTCTTAATAGATCTAGTCTTTTGGGAGTTACAATATGTGTAACTTTGTGAAGGATATCTTTGCTCTTTGCGTCTGTCGCTGTTAATAAATGTCTTGCTTCTTCATTGAAGAAGGGTTGTTGCAGGTTCTTGCCTTCTTTGTTGTCTTATCTGACATTGTGAAAATGGTCCATTGTTTTCTTTATCGTTGCTTTTGGACAAAAAATTGATTTTCATGAGATGCATTCTTTTTTTCACGTTTTTCTCCAGGTCTAAGAGCTTCAAAGATTTTGTACAAAAGTGCCTGGTAAAAAGTCCTGAGCAGAGGCCCACGGCTCTAGACTTGCTCGAGGTATGCATTCTGTTCCTAGCACTGACTATTCTTTTATTTTGGACCCATTGCTGTGAATGAAGTGAGACTGGTAGGGTTGTAGGAAGAAGAGTATTTTCATTTGTAATGGCTGAATATAAAGCAGAATATTTGAATCTGGCTATAGTCAAAACAGTAATTGGATACTCATCTTTTCCCCTTTTATGAGGCTGCTGGTTTTCCTTAGAGCAGTGGTGATTCAAATGAATTTTGTTAAAGACTTATTGCCTTTTGTTACTCTTTTGGAGTGGTCATGTTACGGTTGGACAATGTAAAATAATTTCTGTTAGTCATTAGTATCAAACTATTACCTGTTTGTTATTGTGTTGGTGTGGTGTGACAGACTTTAGTTGGAGAAAAAAGTGAGCTTACGAGTTGGAGGTCTACTTATGAACTTGAAAATGTCCTCTTTTCCTTCCCAGCATCCATTTATCAAAGATTACAAAAACAAGAAAGGTATTATGGACCTCATCTCAGAAGCCAAGGCTGAGGTGGTGGAAGTGGTGGAGGACCTCACTGAAGAGGAAGACATTGCTGCCATCAAGGTTTGTAATAGTCTAGGATGCATGCTTACGAACCAGCTTGAACTTGCCTTCTTAGTTGTTGAGAAGAAGTAGATCATTGAAAATGTGTTCCTTTTCCTCAAGTAGTGAAGGTGGCTGAAATTTTTTAGAGGAAAGATTGTACTTATAGATTTTTCAACTTGATTGAGATGCAGTTCATAGACATGATGAACCCCCCTGGGGCAGTGCCACTGACTGTAGTGTTTTTAGGCCATTCCCAAAGGGGGGGACATTTCTCGTTCAAGCACAAAAAAATTGTAAATGGGCCGATTCATGTCACGCTCATAACTGTGCCTGATCTACCACAGGGAATTTTTGCTTTTTCTTTCTTAATCCTTACTGTTGTCATTTTCCTCTCTTCTTTTGTATGTTTGTCACTCTCTTGTGACTCGCTATTTCCGGGGTGCCTTGGTAGTCGAAGCAGACCTTGTGCTGTTGAAGCTAGAGAGGTGAGCAGAATAAGTCTGATTCCCTGTAAAGACTTCTCTGTTGACACCCACCCCTTGGCGCTCATATGAACTTATGCAGTTGCGAGCGCCGTAAAACCCTCTGCTGTAAAAAAAACCCCCCAAAAAACCCCATGATGACGGTGCAGTACATTGCAGCTCAAGTGTGGCAGTGGTGAGGAAGATCGAGGGCATTTAGAAATAATTACCCTGTCGTGGATTCCCTAAGACACACCTGTGGGTGGTTGATGGGTGCTCTCGTGTGGTTTGCTTCTTCTTTCTTATCAAACATCTATGTTCTTTATCTCCCCTTCTTCTTCCCTGATGATGTTAAGGTCTATTGTTTTTGTCTAATGACATGTTGATGGAAGTACAATTTTTATTACCTAGGTACTTACCGATGTCACGTCGTATTCTACGGTCAAAGTTCTGTTTCAACTGTCTATCTTTGCTGCTTCCCCTTCAGTTTCTACTACAGTGATGTTCTTGACTCTGTGTCTGTCAGTTATGTCGCAGTGATTTAAATAAAAATAAGCATTGACATTGCGGGCTCTCAGGGGATAGCAATGAGAAGTATATGGTAGGTAGGCAATGAGTTACGTTCAGTTGTTATTAAAATGTCATAGTTCCAAACTATGTTCATTTTGTTCCTTTGTCACCCCACGCAAAGCTTTCTCATGTTTTCCCGTAATGTGTGCTCATGTACAATTCAATTTTGTTCATTTACCAATTTTATGCCTTTCTTTCAGGTCCATGCTGATGCTGTCTGTTTCACAAACTTTTTGTGTAATGTTTTGTTGGTTTTAACATTTCAGAGAAACATGAGTGCTGATTCACAGTCCATTGACCTGGACAGCATCTCAACGGCCAGTGACGAGGGTACGGCCAAGGAAAAAGAAAAGGTACTTTGTAGATTCTTTGTTGTGAAAAAGTAAACTGTCAGTGAACTAAGGCGTAGCTTCCTACCCCCTGAAGTGTTTGGGAATTAGGGGGAGGTAAACAAAAAAAGGGGGGTTAGGGTTAACATGACAGCTGTAAGAAATTGCATCATCAGAAATTCTAAAGCTGAGAATTATTTCTTGAAATGTGAGTAAGTGTTAAAGCACCATCTGTGGTGGTTGAAGGATGTGACAGTGAGGTCCTGATTCTGTCCTTTCCCTCTGTTGTTTCTGTCTGTCTATCTTGCTTTACCCCAGAATGAAACAGTAGATTTGCGTTGATGTGCTTCTCTCTACTAAAAAAAAAAAAGGCAATGATAACAATAATCTTTCTTGTCCACAGAGTGCGGAGCCAGAGGGAAAGAAAAAGGAGTCTGAGAAGGCGCCAGCTCCATCCATTCCTGCAACGGGAGCAGCAACTGCTGCCGCTGCGAGAGCAAAAAAATCTCCTACTCCCGAGAAGTCTGTGTCTGCCAAGAAACAACCAGCTCCATCTCCTCCCACGCCAGAGAGCCTTTCTCCAGTGCCATCACGAAAAGAGGAAGAGGTTAAAACTGTGGAACAGAAGGAGGATGAGGCTAAGACGCCAACGAAGGAGAGGGAAGAGGTGAAGCCAGCTCCTGTGGATGCGGACAAACTGACGATGTCCTCAGACGAAGGTATCGGCGATGAGAAGTCGACATCAGACGGCTCAGAAACAAGCCAGGTAAGAAAGAAGATTGATAGGAAGGTGCGAAGGGTCTTTCTTTCCATTCTGTCAATTATATTAATAAATTTAGTGTGTGTGTCAATGTCTTAAGATGACCAATACATCTGCGGAGTAGAAGATTTAAAGGTTAAGATGGCTTGTGGCTTTTGCCAATGAGACGAATTTTTGCAGAGAAGTTTGCCATATTTTGAGCTTTCAAAAGCTACACTTCCACATGTTGATGTTCGCAGCTTGTGGATTTGTCTCTTGGTTTAAGAATTTTTTATTCGTGAAGCCACTTTATCTAAAGGAATGGTATTTGGAGTAAAGATACTAAGTGGCAGTTTACTGCTGTGGTAGGAGTTTCTCAGTGGTTTTCTTTTTTTTTTATAGACCTTGGCAAAGTAATGAAGTGATTTTCAAGACTATCAGAGTAAAAAAAAACCCCACTCTTTTTGTTTCTAGTTTTCTAGTTACTGAGTTAAATGTGAGTCTATAGAGACGGGCTGCAACATGGATACTTGACAAAATATATGCTGCGTACACTTTAAAATGGAAATGATAGTCCCGAGTTTTAACTAAAATGACAGTATTATTTTTTATCTCATCTTCGGTGTTAGCCTCTTTGGGGAACATTTTAAAGTTTACACATAGCTTTATTGTGACTGGTATGACTTTGACTGCTACTTTTGTTTGTGATTGTATGTAAAGACCTTCAGATCTTTTTTAAAACATTTTTCAGACCTCACAGCACTGCCCAAAATTATATTTTGTTTTTCATGACACTTTGACTTTAATTTTGCAATCGTTAGGAAGTAAGTACTCTACCCAAGTTACTTTTGTTTTATCTTTTTGTTACACCATTGCTGACTTTGCCTGTTCAGTTTCTTTTATCTTTACAAGAGGTCAAGGCTTCCACTAGTATGTTCCTTTTTTGTTCTCTTGAAATGTCTTGCTTCTTTTTGTTCTCCGTATTTATTTGTTAAATACTTCAATGTAGATCTAGTGATATAGTCTACCCCACGTAAACAAACCGAGAACTGGTGTTTTCTTTTTCCCCTACATATTTGTAGACTGGCAGTCCAGCTAGACCCAAACACGAGGTGCCAGTAGCAGCTGCAGATGCACCTTCTGGAGAACATGTTGCCACAGAACTCGTTACTGACATTATTGATGATGTCCTTAACTCCACCACAGTGGAACCTTCCATAGCCAGCGTTGTGTTCGATACTTTCCAAGACTTTGTAGCTCCCGGCACCCCAACAGTCGAGGAGCCGGCAAAACCCTCTGCCACCACTGCACCAGGGGAGAGCACTACTTCCAGTCTTCCAGCGGACTCGCCTGCCTCAGTGTCGGTCAGTCTGGCCAGCGACAAGAGTTCCTCGGAGACTCTAAAGGCAGACGAGGAGGTGGAGAAGAAAGAAGAGCCGGCTAGCAAGAAGGAGGAGGGGAAGACCATCACCTTCGGTGGCGTGTCAGTCCCAGAGTCTGGCATGGTCGTCGTCAATGGGTTCGTGGTTCCCCCGGTTGATGGCAAACCACCGCAGGGCAGCGAAACCGCCGCTGCAGCCGTGAAACAGGTTGTGGTTGTGCCTGAGCCGGAAAAAGCGAGTGAGCCGAGCAGCCTCAAGGTGCCGGAGAGCTCTATCAGTGCAGTGCCACAGACTGACCTGGACACGTTTGAGACAAGAATGAGTCATGAGGGTGAAGAGGACGGCTCTGACCGCCGGTCTGACTCGGGCAGTGTCAACACGGTGGACAGCATCGGCGACAGCACAGAGCCCGACCGTGATGAGGCCCCTGTCACTCGCCGAGTCAAGAGAGGACACATTCGTTCACGCAACGTGAGTACACTCCGCCTCCAGCTACTGATGGGTGTAGCAAAGTGAACAAAGAGCTTTGTGAAATTGTTTGTAAAGCGTTTTATTAAATACACGAAGCTCTCCTGCTCTTTCATTTAAAGGGTGCTGTGCTTTAAAGCTACATTTTGGTTATCCCCATTGTTTCTTTTTTCTCTTATCACCATGAGACCATATTTTTGTATTGACAGGAATAAAGAGAAAGTAATCTATGTTTAGTGCTGCTGTTTGATGATTATGTTACATGATTTCATCATAACAATAATTATAAAAATTATATAGCGCAGATTCACGCTCACCATTCTATATCAGCTATAAAGTTTCAGACTTGCCAACTGTCCCAAATTTTCCGTGATTGTCCTGGGTTAGGCTTGAGAGGACATTTTAGCCCACTGAACTAGAGCTTATCCAACTTGATGTAATTTTGTTTGTTGTTACATAATCTGATGCTTTAAGGTTAGGTGTCCCCGATTGGGTTTTTGAAAAGTTTGCTAGCCTGAAATGTAATTTTACTATTAGTTTTAAATATATTCTGAAGCTTAAAGATAATATATCTGCATCGTGAACATATTTTTAAAATAAATTCCTAGGAAGTTGAGTCATAAACTACATAGTTTGAAAAAATTCCATCTCATAGAGAATAATAACTGTTTAATTTTGAGAAAAGAGTTTTCTGAAGTCTCAAGTTCTTTTGCTTTTCAATTTTATTACTTTTGCATTTTCATTGTCAGATTTCTTTCAACTGGTGCTTTCTCTATGTTTAATTTAAAGGACTGCACCTATACTGAAGATTGTTTAGCTTTCCAGAGAGAGTGTTTCTGTAAGTGTAAATGTCTAGAGACAAAAATCACGTTTTAGGTATATCAATATTGTTTTGCTGCTTTTACGAAATATGTAAGATCAATATTTGGCCATTGGCAGTTTTGATTGGCTTATGGTTTAAAACAGATGTTCAAACAGTAGTCCTTGCTGCAAGTTAGAAAGCATTTATTTTATTTTGCTTTTTTACCCCAATTTTTAAAAAAGAATTTCCTCAGTTTCAGATGACAAACTTGTCTGAGCAGGGATCATTTTGATTTCTTTTTGTGGTTATGTTATTTAATATTTTGCATCGTCATCTGCACCTCCAACCAATTATTATTTTCTCCCCACCTTTACTTTATATATTGGTTACTTGGGATCTAACTAGTTGCAAGCTATGCACCCATTTGCAACTTTCATTTACTGTAATGTTCTTATTTCACTTTTTTAGCATTTTGTTCCAGATGAGAGCTGTTTGGCAAAGCTCTTTGATTTAGATGATCGTTGAACATGACTGTGACTGTTGATTTTATTTGCATTGCCCAGATGTAGCTTTTTGATATTATTTCCCTGCTCTCAGACTTGTGTTGCTACGTCTCTACAGGAAAGCAAGAGTCACTACCGTACAATGACCAAGACCAGGACCTATGTCAAGGATGGTCAGGTTGTGACCTCTACCACCACAAAGGTCATCGCCACTGGGGAGGAGAACAAAGTTAGAGAAGATCATTTGCACAGGTCAGTTGCAAAGTTTTTTCTTCCTTGTGCTTGTAAAGTAGGGAATGGTGCTGAAAGCTGGGCCCTTAGGTGGTTTTTGTTATAAAAATGTCATAGCAGGGTTTACTTAAACTTTCCTCCCAAACTGATTTCTGCTTTTAAACTTGTTGTTTTATGTCTGCCTCCTTTATATATACCAGCCTTAGCAATATCGCCCAGTTGTGGGGAATTTGGTAATTTTTTTGTGGGCGGTGAGGATCACCTGGGGAGTGACAGTTATTATTTAATGCCCTGCTTGGAAGTACATAGAGGTGTGTGTTTTGAAAATTTTGGCCTCTTAAAGGAAGCAAAATGTGTGTTTTGAAAATTTTGGCCTCTTAAAGGAAGCAAAAGTGGGCCCTTGCTATAAATAGGTTGACAAGCTCTGGGATGGATGATGATTCATGATTTGTGTTGTAAGCTAAATTTTGTTAGAAAAACCTTCTTAATTTTGTGCCCACTCCATTGCACATGACTTAGTTTCTGTCTTGAACACCTAATGGCCCATACTTTAATAGCTCCTGGAACAAAATGTGTTCTTTTCAATTAATGTTTAGTTTTTTGTTCCTGTTTTCGTTGTTAAGTTACTCTATCATCCCTTTTGCTGTCTTGATTCCCTTTTTGTCTTTGGTAGAAAGTACAGGTTGTACTGATAGTCAGTATCAATACGTAAATGTTACTGCTTCATTGTAACATTTGAGTCAATAGCTTACGCACAGAAGTTCGAACCCAGAGACTGTCATGCCTTATGGCTTGAAAGACAATTTCTAAAGGTAGGCTGGTACAGACAAATATGCATACAGCTGTGTTGGAAAGTAATTTTGGACTGGTATAACTCGAAAGGCTTGATACTGTCAAGTTATATATGAGCTACTGGGGTGTATATAGACCTTGTTATCAGTCAACGAAATGAGGTTAAGTTTCTTTTCTCCATTTTGATTTTATTTAGTTTAGCAGTGTGCATGTCAAACTGGTCAAGGGTTGGACTAGTCCACGTCTTCCCTTTCCTTTGGGTATACTCTTTGGTTTTGTCTAGTTTGATTCCTTCGTTCTACGTCCATTTTTGTGTCTCTGTATAGATGACTGTCTAGAAGGAATCGAGAAAGTGGAGAGCCTCCAACGTCTTGTTAAAAGATCATGTAGTCTTTTTTTTGTATTGGTCCTAGTAAATCAAAATGCCTGTTTATTCAGCGAAGAAGGGTCCATTCGGTGTTCTGCCATGGTGGTTTTCCCCTCTTTTTTGTCCCCTTTTTTCTGTTCTTGTTTTGGTAATTTTGCCGTGTTCTTATTTGCACAAGGTAAAATAGTAATATGTTTTGGCAATGGTTGTTGACGTGGTGTACCCAAAGCCTGCTGTCAATAATAACTTATGTTTTGGCTTCTTCCAAAGGGGTTGAACCTCTCCCTTCTCTCTTGGTGCTTGTGCATGGACTCTCTTTTTGACGCGTGGTTATTTGTTGACTCTCGCAGCCTCTGTACAAAGTCTCCGGTCGTGTTTGCGCCGTCATGAACACCCCCCCCCCTCTCTCTCTCTTTCTCTTTCTCTCTCTCTCTCTCTCTCTCTCTCTCTCTCTCTCTCTCTCTCTCCCTCTCTCCTTCCCTCCCTCCCTCTCTCCCTCCCTCCCCCCCTCTCTCTCTCTCTCTCTCTCTCTCTCTCTCTCTCTCTCTCTCTCTCTCTCTCTCTCTCTCTCTCTCTCTCTCTCTCTCTGTATGTGTTTGTGTGTGTTTTGCTTGTCTCCCATCCATGTTTGTTTTTGTCTGAATTTCTCTTATCCGCCCAATATGATGTATTTGCCTCCCCTTATCTAAAATCCCGTTGTTTACTGCGTCTTCAATGTTTACCCTCATCCCTACCCCCTCTTTTTCCCCCCCTCAATGACGTCACTGTCTCGCGCACTGCAAACGTCGCATTCCTTCCAATTTGTCTGCTCCATTATAATGTACCCGAAAGCCATCAATACTTTATATGTCGTTCGATCATTAATTCTCCCCCACCCCATTTCTCCTCCCCCCCCTCCTCTTGCTTCCTGTCGACACTGTTCCTCTGCCTCTCCGACATTGTTAGCTCTGTCAAACTCGTCAGTGATAATCGGGCACTTGAGGATGGAAAGTGGGCGCTCCGAGACAGAGGGCTTGCTCCTTTTACTTCTTTCCAGCGTTGATGTGGTTCTAATAATATTATTATATTCCTCGCGAACACCCCACCCCGCCCTTTTCCCTCTGTGTGGGTGGTTGGCGTGTGGTCTTGTATTGTTTGCTCCCTCTTTCCTATCAAACATCCATCGTCCTTATCTCCCCTTCTTTTTTTATGTTTGTTACTCTCTTGTAACACTTCTTATATTTTCTTGCGCTCATTTGACCTTATGCAGTTGCGAGCGCCGTAAAACCTCTACTAAAACTAAACTAAACTTTCCCATTGTTGTTTGTACACCTGTTATGCACAAGTAGAAGGTGTAACCTAATTAACCCATTTTGGAATTACTGGCTTGAACGTCTATGTACCTGCAAGTGATATTTAGTTTTATGTATCGTACCCATCTTCAATCTTCTTTATTTCGGTCATTCTTTAATAAGTTAAAATCGTCTTTTGCCAATGACGTCACGGTTACCCCTAAGAGTGGAGACCCCCCCCGGATGTACGTAGGCGGCATTATAGTAAGTTCCGAATCTTGGGCTGAAGTAGAAATTTACCTTGTTTGGTTGGTGGGTGGTTGGTGGGTGCTGTGGTGTGGTTTGCTCCTTCTTTCCTATCGAACGTCTGTCGTTCTTATCTCCCCTCGTTCTTTTTTGTGTTTGTTACTCTCTTTTAACACCTCTAATCTTCGGCACTTATATGACCTTATTGTGTTGCAACCATTGTAAAACTCTTACTAAAACTAAAAGACCTTTACCTTTGATTCTTGTCTTCTCTTCTCGCGCAACAAGGCTGAGAGCTCCGCTCCCGAAATGATTTTGTAATTCCTCTGAAGTGACAAGCTTATTGTGCCTGTTGCTAGCTTATAGTAGGCGTAGATCATTGTGAAGCGAACCGGATCTCTACGAGGGAATGGGTGGACAGTTCAGTATTATTATTGTTTTGTTGTTTTAGTAAGAGTTTTACGGCACTTGCAACACAATAAGGTCATTATATAAGTGGCGGAGAATAGAGGTGTTACAAGAGAGTAACAAACACAAAAAAGAAGGAGGGGAGATAAAGACGATAGATGTTTGATAGGAAAGAAGGAGCAAACCCGCCAACCACCAACTTACTATTTAAGACAAGTTTGTATCTAGTAATGCGTTACATGAGATAAGAAAAAAAAAGTGTGATTAAAATTTTTATTGTTCAGATGTGGGTACATTTATTTGATGTTTCACCCCTCCCTCCCTCCGCCCCACCCGCTTTCCTCAAACACACACACACACGCGCGCGCGCGCGCGCACACCCATACACACATACTCTTTCACACACCTTCTCTTCCACACAAATTTATACGCCTAGCCACACATACTTTTACGCACAAATACTCCCACAGTTACACGCATGCGAATTACATAAACAATTAATGTCAACAATGAGTTAGATACTTGCCTAATAACCAGCATTCTGAAAGTGATTTAATGGCAACGTGACAGACACGCTTTAACTGTCATAGGAATGCTTAATATTTCAGGGTTGAGTTTGACTAAAAAGAAGCACATCGACATAATAACGGTCATATTATAGATCTTTCAAGAAGCAAGACAGGGTGATTAAGATGTAAACACCCATGCTGCGCCGTGCGTCATTCACTGTCCGAAGCATTGGTGGTTGGCGGGTGTCCTGGTGTGGTTTGCTCTTTCTTTCCTATCAAACATCTATCGTCTCTATCCCTCCTCCTTTTTGTGTTTGTTACTCTCTTGAAACACTTCTTATCTTCGGCACTAATAAGACCTCATTGTGTTGCAAACGCCGCAAAACTCTTATCAAAATACTGGAACTACACCTCTTAAAATTGTCTTCACGTTTAATACCTAATTGTATTACAAGGGTCGTGAAACGCTTACTAAAACACGAAACAAGTCGAAATTGCTGAAGCAGCAGCAGCAACAGCCCCGAAGTCCCGGGAGGCCGCGGGGATATTTTGTGGTGGGACTCCACACCCCGACCTATGTGGAGTCGGCGCTCCGGTCGTGGGCGTTGGTTGCAAGGGAAATGCCGGAAGAGCAGGACGCAGGCCGGGTGTTGTCCCGTGAATTATTGATGGAGTCGCAATTGGGATGTGGCAGAGGCGCTTTGCTTTTATGTATGTCCTCATTATTATGATGATCGGTCGTGCTGCTTGCTGCTGGGGCGATTTGTTCCGAGGCACACAGAAGCAACGCGTGGGTGTCCCCGACTCTTATTATTATTATTTTTTATTAGTTTTGTATAGGTTTTGCGGCGCTCGCAACTGCATAAAGTCATATGAGCGCCTGAAGATTAGAGGTGTTACAAGAGAGTAACTAGCATAAAAA